CTGATACATCGGGGGTATTTTGAGCTCTTCCCTGAATATTAATACTTCTCTGTGAATGCTGCCACTGTTGAACTGCGATGAGTTCCCGTGCCGACCTGGAGAACTTTCTCTAATAGTTACCGCAAAATTTACGGAATTTCCCCTCTATTTTCTGTAGACAGTTATATTTAGTAGGTTTTATACGATCGCAGAAATTCGGGACCTATTTAGGTTGCAGACATCGAAAGCACAAACTTTTTTCAGTAATAGTTCAATACTTGATAAGTAGATCGATTCTATAAATTAGCTAATCGCCTGAGAAAGTTTTGCTCACTTACCGGACATAGTGTAATTTAAGTACCGTAATTTACGCGCCACCACAATTTGTGTAATCTATTAAAATACACTTTTATGACGTAATCTTTTAAAATATTTTTTACCAATTGCAAATATTTTAATACTTCTCTTCCTTTTTTCACTTCGTTCTCCTTTTTTCCTTCTGCTCATTTTCTACCTTACCTTTAAATACCTTTAAATCTCCTAATTTTCTCCAATCTCCTAAATCTCCTAATTTTAAAACTCCTAATTAAAACCTCCTAACTAAAAATCTCCCAATTTAAATCTCCTACTTAAAAATCTCCTAATTTAAATCTCCTAATCTTTAAATACCTTTAGATCTAAATTAAATCTCCAAAAAAAAAAATAAAAAAAAAAAATAAAAAATACCTTTCCATACTCCTGCCCCGCGATAAAGATGGCGTCGTTCCCATTCTGTTCCGTTCTAAGTTCGCAGCCTCCGCTTAATAAAATTATTTGAACACTCTGGCTGAGCCTTATATTTCACTGGTGCCGCTCCCAGTGCTTTTTCAGCGTCGTGCCTGCGCCACATATGTTGCACGATGCTCTGCGCTTAATAAAAATCTTTATTTTAAAAATAAAGACCGTGTTATTATAATGTGTGGAAATTTTTTTTAGGAACAGAGTCAGTCAGGAGCATCTGGAAATGAGGAAGATGAATGGGAGCGACTTACAGAAATGCTGTCGCGGATGCAGCCACCTCAGGTGAGCTTCCCGATTCACCACATCTCCTCAAAAATATTGGTAATCTCCAAATATCATCGGACGATTTTATGCCTGCTTTAATCAGTCATCTACGTGTACCTCATTGCTATTCCTCTGTGTTTTTTTTAAGATTCTTCGAGTGGCCGCAAAAGAAGTGGACATTTCGTGGCAGGCACTGGACACCTCAGAAGCATCAGCGCCCGGTGGCCCTTTTCCACAAATTGACGCCTCCGAATTCACATATGACATCGTACTTTTCGAAAGCGTTGGTCGCATCGTTAGTAGTTACAGGTTTGTTTCCTTTTCAAAGCATTACTCATTTGGTCATGGGATAATTAAAGCACCAACAGTGTGATGGAAAATGCTCTCCGATTTTACCAGGAATTCATTGTCTGTTTTGTTCACCTTTACGAAAAA